TGCATTATAACGACGGCATAAAAACATGCGTACAGCGAAATAGCAAAAATTTCTTGACTTGATGATTTCTTGCAAATGTATTTCATTTTTGCAAAATGTTTTAGAAAAATAAAGGCGAAAGAATTGCTAAAAGAAGGGAGTAAAGGTGCCGACCTTAACGAAGGTAAGTTTGTTTTAAATATCGATTTTTTGTACGCTTTATAGTTGCTTTAAAAGCTGATCGTGGCGTATATTTTAAATGAAAAATACAGCATATAATTTCAGTGTTTCTTTACTGATTACCCGTTTTTATTATATTAAGATCTTTAAATAAAAAAGAAAGCCGACTTGTTTGAATGCGGGAATTTGAAATCATTAATTTCAAATTCAAAGGTTTTCGGTAAAGACAGTTTAGTTTTATAAATTACAAGGCGTTTGAGTTTGAAATTTACTTTAAATTGAAACTTATACTACGTATAATATTTTACATATGTAACATTTTACAATTATTCGCCGAAGGCGAAATGATTATAGGACAATGTTGACAATATTCGCCGAGACGAATTCGAGGTGGATATTTATCATTTATATAATTATAGACCCGGAGCGAGGGCGATTAGGCGTAATATTTCCCGAAGTGATGATATTTTCCGAGGGACCACGCTGCGTTGTGAAATCATGAATTTGAGTTAAATATCGTAAAAAATTACATTATCACGTGGTACAAATGCTGTTTTTTCATTGGCCCATTTGAATGTGAACGTCACATGCATCTTCTTAGTTTTGAGCTTTCCTATAGTTGAGATAAGTTAGCCTAATATGGGCTAACAAAAACTATCTTCCAGTGTCTCTTGTTCCATCTATCGTAGTATTTCGCTCTGTCTATAATCCCATGCAGGAGATAGCTTGTTAATGAAAACATAAAATTTATTTATTTATTTACTCTATTTGGTGATTCGTCCAAGATACATAAAAGAAGTAAACTATTTACAAGATATGGGCTAGGAGCCTACTAGAAACCATATGGCTTTTGTTTTAGGCCCCTAGGTTATAAATTTATACTAATTAGCAATGAAAATGATATGCAGCATCAGTTCTAGTGCTTTTAAGAGAAAGGAAAACGAATAGTTAAATATTATAAGATATAATAGTAAGCTATATTTACAATTCAATTTTTGATTTATAGTTTTCCTATACTTAGAGAAATATGTTATTCTATTAAATTGAGACCCGAGAGGTACTTTTTTATTATTGTCTTGAAGGAGTGGTAAGACTTAGCGGGCTCTTTATATTGAGTGGGGAAGATTATTCCACACTTCTATACCTTTATTAGAGAGAGTATGTTTTGTATTTTTCCGTTATTTTATCAAAGGAACACCTGCTCGTTTCAGGGGACTTCAACATACACTCAGACGTTTCTGATGATGCTGATACTGTGAAATTTCATGATCTGCTGGAATCCCTTGGGCTTGAGCAACATGTCACAAAGTCGACTCACATACATGGTCATATCCTTGATCTTGTTATTACACGTAAGACAGAAAACATCATTCCATTTCCACCACGCAGCTGTAGTTATTTCTCTGATCATATATCAGTTCACTTTGACATTGCCATAAAAAACCACCATTACAGACTAAATCAATCAGCTATAGAAAGATCAAGGCTGTCGACATTGACTGCTTCAAGCATGAATTGGCAAGCAGTGTTCTATGCTATAATGAACCAAGAGAGCACTCTGTCCCTGAAGATCTTGATAGGCTTGTGAACATCTACAACACCACCATCACAAGTATGATAGATAAGCATGCACCACTAACAACCAAAACTGTGAAAGCTAGATCTCAGGTCCCTTGGTATAATCATGACATTGCAGCAGCGAAGAGAAAACGGCGCAACCCAGCCGGCAAATCGACGTCGATTCGACGTCGAAACGACGTCAGAGGATGACGTCGAATCGACGTCGAAAAAAGGTTGAAAACGCAAACGGAATCGACGTTGGGAAATCGACGTCGTTTCAACGTCTGGAAATCGACGTCGTTTAGACGTTAGAATATCGACGTCGAAACGACGTTAGAATATCGACGTCGAAACGACGTCGAAACGACGTCGAAAAAGGGTTGAAAACGCAAATGGAATCGACGTTGGGAAATCGACGTCGTTTCAACGTCTCAGAATCGACGTCGTTTCAACGTCTGGGAATCGACGTCAATTAGACGTTAGAATATCGACGTCGAAACGACGTCGAAAAAGGATTGAAAACGCATATGGAATCGACGTTAGAAAATCGACGTTTTTTCAACGTTAGACAATCGACTTCGTATCAACGTTTAAAATCAGGTGAAAATGCATATCGATTCGTCGTCTAATTGTCAACGTCAACTCGATCAGTAATGTGTTTGACAATTATACGTGGAATCAATGTGCATTTTACCTGATTTCGGACGTCAATAGCACATCGATCAAAGTAAAAATTAACGAGCACTTGCCAAAATAGTTTAATGCAATATTTATTTGAAATAAATAATCAGAAATATGTACACATCACAACGCATAGATAAGCTTTTATTAGTCCTCCTTTTTCTTTGCTTTACTTCTTTGCTTTTCTATCTGGGGCATACTTTAGAAATCTTTTTACGCTTTCGGCGACTTCGCTTTCATTACAATTAAAATTCTTTAACACGCTTTCTAAAACGACAATGCAAGTCGATCGATACATCAGTAAAATGTATAAGATCATAATGGTACGAAATAATTAAGGTGGATTCTTACAGTTTTTTATGTGAAGGGTTAATTATAACGGGTTTTGATTGCGTTAGACGTAGGTATTGGAACCAATCAGTATAAGCACTTCACGATCGGTGGTGCCGTCTAAAAAACGGCATTGTATTATTTTAAACAATACTTTTAGAGTTAAAAAGTTTTCGTTTGAAAGATTGCACTTTCCACATATAAACTTGGAATCAAAGAGTTTGAACGAAAAGTTTGATCGTTTAAATACGAAAGTTTTGAAGATCATTTGCAAGTTATCACACCTTTTTGTCTAGACACGAGTATTACTAGTAACAGATTTCCTCTTCAATTTTATTGGTTGAAACCATCAAAACAACGAAAATCTCCCATGCATGACAACTTTTCAAAGTATTATAAAACTCAAGATAAATTTATATTCCCAAACCTGTTATTATTTTAAACAAGGCAGTCGGTCTAAAGGCAGTCTTATCGCCATGCCCATCCATGTTCAGCGTAGACATAATTTCGTTTGTTATTAGTCTAAAAAATGAGAAACAATTTATAATCAATAACACATACAGAGAAACGTTGTAAATATATTGAGGATATACACGGTGGTGCGAACATATGAAGTTTTCCTTCGAGTGGTGAAAACAATAGTTTACGAATGAGCGCAGCGAAGTACAGCTTATGCTAGAAATACATGCATGCAATAACCCCTCGCCTGTTTTCAAAAGATGTATACTCAGTGCCGTTGCTAGCACTTCGTCTCAGGGGGTGTGTGAGGTTAGATAGAGGGGGGGGTGGTTACCAAAATGTTTCCAGATGTACAAAAAATTTTCAGGACATATAATAATTTTTCCGAAAATACAGTTGTTTTCCAAATTCACTTTCTCATGTCCAGAGAATTACCTGAATTCCCCTGAAAATCTTCTGCAAATCTACTTAAATTTACCTAAAAGTGCACTGGAAATCTACCTGAAATTCCTCATGAGCAATTATCAGGGGTGTTGCACCCCCCCCCCCCCACCAGTGAGTTTCACGCATTCACGCAAACACTCTCTGATTTATTGTTCGTGTATTTCATCTCCCAAAATTTTGTGCATCATACTATAGAGCATTTTGCTGTTGTCATGGTCTAGCGTGGTTCAAATTTATGAATTTTTATCATATAAAGTATAGTGTTTTATGTACTATTTAAAACACGAGTAGGAGTGCAGCCAAGCGTTATATATCTGATAAAACACGACAACCAGTGTTTTGAATAGCTTAAAATACGACTACAAAAGACTACTAATTAGGATGAACCATAGTATAATCATGCTAATTAAGATGAACAATTATATAATGCCACATGTGTTTTATCAGATATAAAGTCACTCCACGTGACATATTATGGCTGACATGTTTGCCACAAGGTTTATGAATTATTAATGAGTATTTTAAAGAGATTTCGAGCACTGATAAAAATGGTAATCTCACATGTGAAATTATTCATGATAATCTCACATGTGAAAATTATCGCCTTTTCAATTTATCGATTTTCTGTAAAAATTATCGCTTTTCAAAGACTGTCCTTTATATAATAAACAGAAAAATACATGGGTGGTTGGAAATACCAGATTTATTTTTCGTGTTGAACATGACATCTCACTCGTTCGATGCGCTCACTTGTTCGCTCCGCACTCATGTTCAACACTCGAAATAAATCTGGTATTTCGTGCACCAATGTATTATTCTCTATTTAAACTACAACTTGACTGGTTTAAATTATTATCAAGTTATCAGTGATTGTAAAAGTTGCAGATAGAAGTGTTTTGTTTTACATTATTATCAAATTATCAAGTTATCAGTGATCGCAAAACCTCCAAAACCTTAATTTCAAATGTTAGAATGTTAGGGTTTGTAATCCAAGTGAGAATATATACATTTTAAGACCTAACCAGGAACGACTGCGAAAAATGCAGCACAAGGCCCTCTGGTAGGAATTTAACCTACGGCCCTGCGTTTCCGGTGCAGCGCTCTAACCAACTGAGCTACAGAGGCTAGCTGTTGAGCTTTAACCGTAAGTTCATGTATATTTAGGTAGTCGGGTGTGCGGGTTATGATAAGGTGGACTTCAATAATTTGGATTCTTGCACTTCACTTGGTCGACTTACTGTTAGAATGTTAGGGATTGTAATCCAAGTGAGAATATATACATTTTAAGACCTAACCAGGAACGACTGCGAAAAATGCAGCACAAGGTCCTCTGGTAGGAATTGAACCTACGGCCCTGCGATTCCGGTGCAGCCCTCTAACCAATTGAGCTACAGAGGCCAGCTGTTGAGCTTTAACCGTAAGTTCATGTATATTTAGGTAATAGGGTGTGCGGGTTATGATAAGGTGGACTTAAATAATTTGGATTCTTGCACTTCACTTGGTGGAATTAATATTAGAATGTTAGGGTTTGTAATCCAAGTGAGTATATATACATTTTAAGACCTAACCAGGAACGACTGCGAAAAATGCAGCACAAGGTCCTCTGGTAGGAATTGAACCTACGGCCCTGCGATTCCGGTGCAGCGCTCTAACCAACTGCGCTACAGAGGCCAGCTGTTGAGCTTTAACCGTAAATTCATGTATATTTAGGTAATCGGGTGTGCGGGTTGTGATAAGGTGGGCTTTCATAATTTGGATTCTTGCACTTCACTTGGTGGAATTAATATTAGAATGTTAGGGTTTGTAATCCAAGTGAGAATATATACATTTTTATACCTAACAAGGAACGACTGCGAAAAATGCAGCACAAGGTCCTCTGGTAGGAATTGAACCTACTGCCCTGCAATTCCGGTGCAGCGCTCTAACCAACTGAGCTACAGATGGCCAGCTGTTGAGCTTTAACCGTAAGTTCATGTATATTTAGGTAATCGGGTGTGCGGGTTGTGATAAGGTGGACTTCAATAATTTGGATTCTTGCACTTCACTTGGTGGAATTAATATTAGAATGTTAGGGTTTGTAATCCAAGTGAGAATATATACATTTTAAGACCTAACCAGGAACGACTGCGAAAAATGCAGCACAAGGTCCTCTGGTAGGAATTGAACCTATGGCCCTGCGATTCCGGTGCAGCGCTCTAACCAACTGAGCTACAGAGGCCAGCTGTTGAGCTTTAACCGTAAGTTCATGTATATTTAGGTAATCGGGTGTGCGGGTTGTGATAAGGTGGACTTCAATAATTTGGATTCTTGCACTTCACTTGGTGGAATTAATATTAGAATGTTAGGGTTTGTAATCCAAATGAGAATATATACATTTTAAGACCTAACAAGGAACGACTGCGAAAAATGCAGCACAAGGTCCTCTGGTAGGAATTGAACCTACGGCCCTGCGATTCCGGTGCAGCGCTCTAACCAACTGAGCTACAGAGGCCAGCTGTTGAGCTTTAACCGTAAGTTCATGTATATTTAGGTAATCGGGTGTGCGGGTTGTGATAAGGTGGACTTCAATAATTTGGATTCTTGCACTTCACTTGGTGGAATTTAAATATTAGAATGTTAGGGTTTGTAATCCAAGTGAGAATATATACATTTTAAGACCTAACCAGGAACGACTGCGAAAAATGCAGCACAAGGTCCTCTGGTAGGAATTGAACCTACGGCCCTGCGATTCCGGTGCAGCGCTCTAACCAACTGAGCTACAGAGGCCAGCTGTTGAGCTTTAACCGTAAGTTCATGTATATTTAGGTAATCGGGTGTGCGGGTTGTGATAAGGTGGACTTCAATAATTTGGATTCTTGCACTTCACTTGGTGGAATTAATATTAGAATGTTAGGGTTTGTAATCCAAGTGAGAATATATACATTTTTAGACCTAACAAGGAACGACTGCGAAAAATGCAGCACAAGGTCCTCTGGTAGGAATTGAACCTACGGCCCTGCAATTCCGGTGCAGCGCTCTAACCAACTGAGCTACAGATGCCAGCTGTTGAGCTTTAACCGTAAGTTCATGTATATTTAGGTAATCGGGTGTGCGGGTTGTGATAAGGTGGACTTC